TACCGGTGCGCGCGTGCTGGAGCCCAGGACCGAGCCCTCCCGGCCTCGGGCGACGATCTCGCTCCCAGCCGCGCGCGCCCGCACGACGCGCTCGCGCGATGAAACTTTGCAGAGCGTCGCACCCAAGGTAGTACTCGACTCTCACCAAGTTTGGGCCGGTCGGAGCGCCATCACGTCGACATCTCGCGCTGCCAGCGCCGGCGGCGCCTGTGGAGAAATTCGATTGGCCAGGCCGGCGACCGCTGCACGGTCGCTGGCGGACAAAAGATCAGCCAGACGAAACGATGGGAACGTCTCTGGACTTAATCACGTCGCGCCGCTGTCAGTTTTCTTCCCCGGGCCGCGGGGAACCCACGCGCTCGGGCACAGTCCTTGTCTGGCGGCGCCTGCGCGTTTTTTCGCTGCGACGACGGCTGGAAGACGAGTAACGGTCGGCGTCTTCGCGCGCGGGCAAGGCTGCGGCCGCTGGAAATCGTGATTTTGCGCTAAAGAACGACACCTCCTCTTCGATTACGTTCCTTGCATGGTGTTGAACGCGTCAACGCTTACTCCGGGTGTCGAGCGTGCGATTCCGGACACCCGATTTCAGGCGCTCGGGCGCGTTCCCGACGAGCGCCCGAGCGCATGTGTTCGGGCTGTAGGCGCTGCGCTCGCCGTACCAAAGCTTGCCGTACTCGCGGAACGTATCGGCGGACCCCCTGGACGGGTTCTGGTTCGCGGCGAAGCGCTTTTGGAGCTGTTCTGCCGCCTGGAAATCTCGACATTGCCTATATCGGAGGGTTTTCGGTGCTGCATGCAGCGTTTCGTGCGGACCGATCACCGTCGCTGCGTTCCGCCGGGCGGTCGACATCATAGAGCTCCTGCGTGAAGCTCTACGCGGTCGTCGGCGACCGCAAGGCGTCCCGCACGCGCCGAGCCGCCTTGGCTGAAACCGGCGGATGGTCGCCGCGGCCCAGTGCGGCCGCGTCTGGGCTTTGCTCGAGGTGTCTGCGGTCCGTGCGCCCGACAGGGGTCCCGACGGCTTCTCCTGAGCGCCAGGTTGCTGCAGAGAGTACCGTGGATCGCGTTTAGGGGTCCAAAACACCTGAATTTCACCTAAACGCACTCCAAGATGTCTCTCTTGACTTCTTTCGGGACAACTGTGGAAGCGACTAGCGTCGATTTGAAATCGATTTGTTCAGTGCGAGTCAGCGGGGCGCGCGGGCGCTGAATAGGGCGTGCCAAGGAGTGCTCTAAGGTGCAAATCAGGTGGTTGGCCCCCTAAACGCGGCCCACGGTACTCTCTGCAGCAACCTGGCGCTCAGGAGAAGCCGTCGGGACCACTGTCGGGCGCACGGACCGCAGACACCTCGAGCAAAGCCCAGACGCGGCCGCACTGGGCCGCGGCGACCATCCGCCGGTTTCAGCCAAGGCGGCTCGGCGCGTGCGGGACGCCTTGCGGTCGCCGACGACCGCGTAGAGCTTCACGCAGGAGCTCTATGATGTCGACCGCCCGGCGGAACGCAGCGACGGTGATCGGTCCGCACGAAACGCTGCATGCAGCACCGAAAACCCTCCGATATAGGCAATGTCGAGATTTCCAGGCGGCAGAACAGCTCCAAAAGCGCTTCGCCGCGAACCAGAACCCGTCCAGGGGGTCCGCCGATACGTTCCGCGAGTACGGCAAGCTTTGGTACGGCGAGCGCAGCGCCTACAGCCCGAACACATGCGCTCGGGCGCTCGTCGGGAACGCGCCCGAGCGCCTGAAATCGGGTGTCCGGAATCGCACGCTCGACACCCGGAGTAAGCGTTGACGCGTTCAACACCATGCAAGGAACGTAATCGAAGAGGAGGTGTCGTTCTTTAGCGCAAAATCACGATTTCCAGCGGCCGCAGCCTTGCCCGCGCGCGAAGACGCCGACCGTTACTCGTCTTCCAGCCGTCGTCGCAGCGAAAAAACGCGCAGGCGCCGCCAGACAAGGACTGTGCCCGAGCGCGTGGGTTCCCCGCGGCCCGGGGAAGAAAACTGACAGCGGCGCGACGTGATTAAGTCCAGAGACGTTCCCATCGTTTCGTCTGGCTGATCTTTTGTCCGCCAGCGACCGTGCAGCAAAGGTCGGAGGTGTCGCTGAATTGCGGCAATTCCAAGGGGATATAAATCTACTATTTATTACCCCTTGGCAATTCCGCCTGGGCACTCTGTTGCGCGCGCGCCGCCGCGCCACGACGCGTTCGCCGCTGCGCCGAGCGCCAGCGCCTCTCGCGCGCGCCGAACCGCCGCGTCGCACCGCTGCGCCGTGCGCCGAGCGCCGAGCGCAAACCACAAAGCACAAACCACAAAGCACCAGCAAAAACATGGTCAAGTTCCTCGACAAGCTCTCGGATCTGGCAAAAGCGGCGCTCGGCCAGAAGAGCGGCGCGTCCTACGACGCGCGCGTCGTCGCCGAGTCGCAGAAGCGCTACGAGAGCCTCCTGCGCGACGTGGAGCGCATCTTCCCCGGCGTGTCGACGATCGTGCTCGCGACGATCGGCGGCGACGTGCTCGCGCGGCACCCGCGGCCGCCGAGCGCGTCGAAAGCCGCCGTCGACGACTCGGAGTTCGAGGACATCCCCGCGGAGCTGCGGGCGCTGGACGACGAGATGACCGCCGGCGACCTCGAGTTCGACGAGTTTCTCGTCGGCGTC